CCTTTTATCGTCATTGCTGGGCTTGTGGTCACTTATCCTTCCCAGCCAGGTGACACATATTTGTTCCGTGATAGTCCAGGGTTTCAACCCCAGTTCCGGGTTAATCTTTCCTTTGACACTGTGAATGCCCCTTGGCCCATAGCCCCTGCTTCCTGAGCTACAAATGGGCTCCTGGATACCCGCTCCTAAATATACAAATACTACAACAACAACAACAAAAGCTGAGCTCCCGGTCTCCCTCTGGCACTTACCTGTGTCACCCATTCCCAGGACAGCCCCTCCGCAGGTCTCTCCAAAGGGGTTCTCCAGGCCAACTGCACAAATGTGGACTTAAGGGGAAGAGAAAGGCCAGGGCCCTCACTCATCCCAGCTCTGGGCTCCCAGCCAGAGCCCCAAGCCAGGGCACACTCGGGCTGGCTCCCAGATCCTGCCCCTGTGCCCTTCCTCCCCAAGGGGACACTGTTCACCCCACTCAGCTCTCTCTCTGCTCATGCACCTGTGTCACAGGCCTAAGATTGTGCTCACAGAAGTGGACAGAGCTGAGCACCCACACACAGGTACACGGGTTCCGACATTACACACTGGCAGTGACAGCCAGGAAATGCTCAGCCAGGAACAGAGAGACTGTCACTTATTCTGCACATATCTACTAAGTGCTTCCCAGATGCCTGGAGCTGTTCTGGGACTGGGATAAGTCAGGGACATAACACACTGTGGTGTGTTGAATAGAATCTCCTCAAAATGTATGTCCATTGGAACCTCAAAATGTGACTTTATTTAGAAATGGAGTGTTTGAAGATATAACAAAGGAAAGGATAGAGATGAAAGCATACTGGACTAGGGTGGCCCTAGATCCAATGACTGGTGTCCTCATAGGAATAGAAGGGGACACACAGAGGGCAGAAGGCCATGCGATGACAGAAGCAGAGATTGGAGTGTTGCAGCCATAAGTTACGGAGTGCCTGGAGCCCCCAGAAGCTAGAAGGAACAAGGAAGGATCCTCCCCTAGAGCTTCCAGAGAGAACGTGGCCCTAGCAACAGCTTGGTTTTGCATTTCTGGCCTCCAGAACTGTGAGGAAATAAATTTCTAATGTTTTAAGCCACCTGGTTTGTGGTACTTTGCTACAGCAGCCACAAAAAGCAAATACAGGCATACACAACTACACATGCACAGACACACACATTCAGTGCACACAGGGGTGATGCACACGTGAGCACACTGTGACCCTTCGGGCTCAAAATTTCCCTCCTCCCAAAGTATTACAAAGACCACTCTCTGCCTGGGAAGGGACCCTGGCGACTATGGCTGCTGTGGATCTAGGCATTGTGAGAAGGGAACAGCTGTGGGCAGTAGACNAAGTCCCAAACTTCACTGTGTCCATTTCCTCATTTTTAAACAAGGTGTAACCCAAATGGTCTGCCTGGCTCTGCCTGAGCACCTCCCTTGAAGCAAGGCCATGCCAGCAGGTGCATCCCCCCAATATACCTGACTCCACAACACATGAAGGAGAAATGGAATTCTATTGAGAATTTCAAGGGTGTTGGAGAAGGGGAATTACATTGGTACTCTATGGCAACTTGATAAACCTTATAAAATGCCCATTTATGTCCCTGCTTTTTTCTCAAATGTCTTCACCAGCCACTGGGTCTGGGTCATTCGCCAGGAGTTAGGTTTTTCTTCCTGTCTCTTCCCTTTCTCTCAGCCCAGCCATTACCTCCGCATCCTTCTCCCACACCTTCACCTCATCTCACTATACTTATCTTTTCTCCCAAGGAGAAATTCAGATCCCCTCTTTCTCTTTGCAATTCGTACCCTTAGATCCCTCATGCAGCTCAGTCAACAGAGGCTACTCAAAGGAGGAGATGCCCTCCCTGCAAAACTGTGAAGAACTAAAGATGAAAAATCATTTCACCATCAAAAATGCTTTCCTTTCCTCAAGACGTTGGTCAGAATGAGAGGGATGATGTATCTGAAGCATAGTACATGATGCTTGGTATGCAACAGATGCCAAATCATTGTCACTGTTTATGTTGTTGTTTTGGGCAAACATTCTATATTCACTCATTCAAGATAAGCCAAACATATGTTTCCCGACACAGTGACATGGGCATCTCCTCCTCCATGCCACTCTCAGGCATGGGAAACAGGAAGAAGTTGACACACAAGGTCAATACTGGGGAGGTGGTGACCTCAAGGAATCCGGGAGGAATGGGGTCAACCAGACTGGGGGAAAGGAGAGAAAATAAACATCTAGAATTCACGGAGCACTTGCTAAGGGTAGAAGTAGGGGGAATTCACATATAGGAATCATCACCAGTGAAGCATAATTATACCCATTTTACAGACAGAAGACTGAAGTGTCTCCACCCACCACACCCCCTGCCACAAAACCAGTCACTTCAGGAGGTCTGGAGGGAGAGTTTGCTGAGGAAGCTCTTCTTCATGGCGTTTTTCAGCTCCTTGTTCCTGAGGCTGAAGATAATGGGACTGAGGAAGGGCGTGAGGACTGTGTAGGTGACACCCATCAGGGTGTCTCCTTCCAGAGACTGGGTACCCTTGGGCTTGAGGTAGATGACAGAGGCGAAGCCATAGTGCACGACCACCACAGTGAGGTGGGACACGCACGTGGAGAAGGCCTTGTGCCGGCCCTCGGATGAGGGGATCCTCACGATGGTGGCCACAATGGAGGCGTAGGAGAGGAGGATGAGGAGACAGCAGCCCAGCAGGGCCGAGATGCACACTAGGCCCACGCCCAGGGCCACAGTGGAGACGTTGTCCCCACAGGCCAACTTCACGAGAGGTGGCACGTGGCAGAAAAAATGGTGGACCTCATTGGGTCCACAGAAAGTGAGGTGGAAAATAGCCGTTGTCACCACCAGCCCCATGACTGAGCCACCTGCCCAAGACCAGCCCACCAGGCAGGCACAGCCGCGGGGGCTCATGAGCACGTTGTAGCGCAGGGGGTGGCAGATGGCCACGTAGCGGTCGTAGCCCATGACGGTGAGCAGGAAGGAGTGGGTGAACCCAAACGCGAAGGAGAAGAACATCTGGCTGGCGCAGGCCGCCAAGGCGATGGAGCGGTGGGTGGAGAGCAGGTCGGCCAGCATGCGCGGGATGATGGCAAAGGTGTAGAAGATCTCGGAGATGGAGAGGGCGCACAGGAAGAGGTACATGGGCGTGTGCAGGCTGCGCTCGCTCCGGATGGTGGCCATGATGAGCAGGTTCCCCAGCAGCGTGAAGAGGTACATCAGCAGGAACAAGAGGAAGAACACCAGCTGAAGGTGGGGGAAGGCGGAGAAGCCGATGAGGATGAATTCAGACGTGGAGGTGTGGTTTAGCGCTCGCATGGCAGTCACACCTGGTTGGGGAAAGAGGGGAGAACTCAGTGGGTAGGAACTCGGGGTCTCTGGTGAGCCCTTCCTGGAAGGACTTCCCCAAGTGGCTCCTTCACCTCTCCAAGTCATGGTTAGTCCACCTGCAAAATGGTGTTCATAATAACGATCTGTGCTTCATAGAGCCGCTTGAGGTTTAAATAAAAACATGCATCTAAAGTGCTTAGCACTGGCTGGCCGAATTGGTTATAGCGCAGGCTCTGAGCAACAGGGTTACCGGTTCGAATCCCAAATGGGCCAGTGAGCTGCGCCAGAGCTGCCACTGAGCTGATGAGAGCGCATGCTCTTAACAACAAGGTTGCTGGTTCAACTCCCGTGTGGGATGGTGGGCTACACCCACCCCAGCAACTAGATTGAAAGCAGCAGCTGGACTTAGAGATGAGCCTGCGCCCTCCACAACAAGATTGAAGGACAACAACTTGACTTGGAGNTATTCAGGGTGGAAGGAGATATGAGATGACACAGAGAAAAATAAGATTCAATGATTCCTGTCTGTTGCAGGATGCTTTATCAGGTAGCATTAAACCTGGAATCTGTTCTTCTCTTGCCAGGAACCAAAGTGGTCTAATTACTCCCACCACCATCAACCCATAACGCAAAGAGACATGGAAGACGTCAGGCCCCCACTCTCTGCTAGGCAGCAACAGGTAGCTATAACATGGGTTTTGTAAGGCTACAAAAGACAAAGCCAGGTTTCAGCAGAGGAGAACAAAGCACTCTAAATTTCAGCATTGCACAGATCTGTGTAGTAGCAGTTAGAAACAATAATAAGCAGACTTACAGAAAAAGTTAAGGAAACCTCTGCATTTCAAATGTGAAGCATGAACAGCTGCAAAGAGACAGAGAAGCCTCTACAGTTAGTTCGAGGGAACATGTCCCACCATGAGAAATCGCCTGCTGTGTTAGAGAGTGACATGGCACATGGGCCAGCGAGGGGACTCTTTGTTGAACCACAATAATGAATGCAGAACCCAAGATAAAGGTGCACCCATGTCACACTGGTTTACTGCTCCCCCAAGAGTATGAGATGGTATTTCAGGTTGACCATAATGCATAGTATTTATAATTTGTTGTAAATACATGTAGTCAGGAGAATGACAAATACTGTATGATATCACTTATGTGTGGAACATAAAAAAGCTGAACTTGTAAAAACAGTAAAGTGGTGGTTACCAGAGGCTGGGGGATGGGGGAAATGGGGAGATGTTTAAGGGTACAAATTTTTAACCAGTAGATAAGTAAGTCCTGGAGGTCTAATACACAATGGAGTGACTATAGCCATAGTGTATTATAAAGTTTAAAGTTGCTAAGATATTAGATCTTAGTTGTTCTCACCACAAAAAAGAAATGATAATTATGTGACATGATAGAGGTGTTAGCTAACACTACAGTGGTAATCATATTGCAATATATTCATGTATCAAATCAACACATTATACATCTTAAATTTACACAATGTTATGTCAACTATAATCTCAATTAAAAAGGTTTCCCTAACAAAAAGACAGCCTACTGAATGGGAGAAGATATTTGCCAATGATGTATCTGATAAGGGGTTAATATCCACAATTTATAAAACACTCATTCAACTCAACACCAAAAAAACAAACAACCCAAATAAAAAATGGGCAGAGGATATGAAGAGGCATTTCTCTAAAAAGGATATACAGATGGCCAACAGGCATATGAAAAAATGTTGAA